TCTCTCTCTGTCAAATAAAGAAATAAAATCTTTAAAAATAAATAAATAAATTCAGAAACCTGTCAGAAGCAGGAGATGTAATTAACTATTACCTGGAAAAGTCCTTTAAATTCCCCATGCTGAAGAGACAGACAGCATTGGGCGCCTGGGTGGCTCAGTCGTTAAGCGTCTGCCTTCGGCTCAGGTCATGATCCCAGGGTCCTGGGATCGAGCCCCACATCGGGCTCCCTGCTTGGCGGGAAGCCTGCTTCTCCCTCTCCCACTCCCCCTGCTTGTGTTCCCTCTCTCGCTGTGTCTCTATCAAATAAATAAATAAAATCTTTAAAAAAAAAAAAGAGAGAGACAGCATGAATTTCCATCTCTAGTGTGTTGCTTACTAGTTATGGAGCTGGGAGCAAGGTCAGTTTCTTAATACCCTTTTCATAAGATTTGAAGGGAGGTAAGCAGAGTATAAGTACGTAGATTTCAGTTTGTCCCATTTTCTCTTAAAAGAAAGCTTTCTAACCTCAAACATGTTTAGTTTTGAAAATGATTTTGAGCTTGTGGTAAGTGGCAGTAAAAAAAATATAATCTGGGCAACAACTGCCCTTAAAGGATGGCCGTAAAGTCAGCTGGTTTGTTGAAAAGTAGGCCTTCAGCATCTGTGATGACTTGGAAATCAGAAAAGATCATAGAAGTAGAGTGGAGACAGCACACTGTCCAGTTAACATTTCAGAGAAATAAACATTTCTTCACTTCTTAAATATTCCTTAGATCACTACAGTATTTATTATGATGGTAGATTTTATGAGAGCTAGTTGTCTTCTCCATGGGGGTCTCTTATCCACTTTCTGTAGTTGTGTATCAGCCTTGACAAATGATCACAGTTATCAGCTTAAAATAATACCCACTTCTTATCACACAGTTCTGTAGGTCAGAGGGCTCAGTATAGCATGGCTCAGTTGGGTCTTGTGTAGCATCTCATAAGAATCTGGGGATGAATCCTTACCAAGCTCATTTAGGTTGCTGGCTGAATTCTGTTCTTTGTAGCTGTAGGACTGGGGTCCTTGTTTCTCTGCTACCTGTCAGCAGTTATTCCTATAAGATTTCTACATACTTTTTCACACAGTCCATATGGCCACTCTGACAAAGATGGGTAGAGTCCCTCTCATGCTTTAAATCTCTCCAACTTATCCTTTTGCCACATTTTTCTGTTTTTAAGGCTCATGTGGTTTAGATTGGGTCCACCTGGATAATCCAAAAAAAAAAAAATCCCCTTATTTTTAAGGCCCTTTAACCTTAATTATCTCTGCAAAATATCTTCGCCATGCAACATAACATTCAAAGGTTGCAGAGATTCGGACATTTGCAGGGGGCCATTCTGCCTACCACAAAAAGTTAAAAGCTATTATTCCTTATCTATTTTCAGAGCATATTGTCTTCCTAAAAAAACACTCTTATTTCAGTTAAATGATCTTGGTTACCCATGCCATCTAATAGGCTTGGAATGTAATCTCTCAGAGAGTAGTTCCTGGCACTTAACAGACACTGATTTGCCTCAAATATGTGCTTATTTATTTTGGATTCTCACCTAACACAAGTGACAAGTGTTTCTCCCCATCCCTGTTATGGTTCTCAGTTGTAGGATCTATTTTCTAGATTACCAAATAGGAAAAAAAAAAGTATTTCTTATTGATAACTATGCTTCATTAAACCTAAATATTTTTCTGTATGTATTATTTGGGACAATGATTAGGAAAGGAATTAGAAATGAATTGTACTACATTTCCTGATAATGTGGGCAAACATAGATGCTACATCTTCTGGTGTCATCGGTAGGATCAGCTGGTAGGAGAGACTCTGGTTTCCTGATGAGGGACTGGTCCTGTCATTGAGGATGTGTGGCTCCCAGGAAGGAGTTAAGCTCCTCCTCATATGGGTGCAAATAATGGCTGCAATGGCTGTGAATGAATCCAAAGAAACCAGAGACAAAAGCCTAAGTCCTGAGGAGCTGATTCTTGTATCCATGTTTTATTACTGGTCATATTTTTTTTACCCAGTTCAAGAAAATAATCACTGATTCATTCTTTATCTTTCCAATATTTATTCCCTTTAAGTCTAGAAAGACACAATGGGGAAAAGTCAGATCACACATTCTTATTATAAAATTCTTGTTCTTCAGGCAGATTTTCTCTTCCCCTCTTTGGCTCACTTCTCCTTCAACCATTTC